TAATTCATATCAGTATGCCAAATTTCAGCCTTCTAGCATATTTGGAAGAACCTTAGAATTTTGATGATCTATTAATGAGGTAGTGACAAAATAGGTGTTTTTAAGGCCATGTTAGTTTTTTGTTGGTTGTTGGAAATCGATGAAATTTAATTTTAGTATTAGGTCTATAAAGGTCTACGACTGTGCAAAATTTCAGTTTTCTAGGACACTTCAGAGCTGAGTTACAGGTAGGTCGAAATAACCTGAAATGTTTCGAGAAAAGGTATAGAGTAGTGCGCGAATTTGGCGGAAAGATTTCGTGGAGGTTGTCTGGCGTATCGGCCCTCTCCAGCTCTTCGCTGACATTTGGTCCCCATGCCGAGTTGAAGGCGTTTTTGAGGTCTAAGCAAATAACGGTCTGGTGTAGGTCTTGGGCTTTACTTCTATTCATGATGGCCTAGATATTGGTTAGGGCTTCAAATGTTCCGATAGTGAATATCATTCTGATAATATTTGCTCCAATATACTTATGAATTCAAATACATGTGTAGATTCGTAGCAATCAGACGCTGACGTAGAAATTGCTTAATTTTAGTGACCGTAGACGGGAAAATGTCACTTTTGACAATACGTATTGAGAGTTTTCTTACGCCGCAGGAATTCAAAGAAGTGACCTAATGAAAGTGTAGTTTCAGTTAAATAAAACAAATAAACTCGTTCTAGTTTACAGTTGATATATTTTATTTAATTCAATTTTCATACAAATATTTACAATAAATATACCATTTTTAGTTTGGTCTTTGTTCTTCATAATAACAATAATTATTACTATCAGTCATTTCTCAAATGACTTTACATTGACTATTTACAATATCTTTTTCCTCTAGGCCGATAATATGGTTAAGAAGTTTTCCTATTGTTTTTTTTATGAGGGATAAAACAAAACGATGCTAGTAAAAAAGTTTTTTTCCGGGGGAAGCTGTTTGTTATTAGATACCTCTGGAAAAATTAGAATGCTCATACAGTTCACAACAAAAAGCTTACTTCGTTTTTCTCTAATCAATTCATATTCTGAACGTAGACATAAGGCTTTGGTCTGCCTATCAAATGAAGGTTTTTACGGCCAACACAAAACGTTTTAAAATAATATTAGTAGAACTTTCACTATTAAACATATTCCGCAGATCGTTTAGGAATTCACAAAAAACTGTACTGGGTGATTGTCTATGTTTTGCACCCACACCTATTCCACCGGTTTAAAAAGATACCCAGAAATGTCAAATGTGAAAGTTCAATCCCACTGGAATTCCACTAGAATTCCTTAGTTTGCTTGATGAGTCGATGTTTTTGTACCTACCTAAACTTTGTTTCATGAGGGTTCATACTTTTGACAAAATTTGCTTTCCTATTTTACCAAATAGAAATTAACTGAAACAAATCAATTACGTCAAAAACGTTTGTCGGTTCTGAAGCCAGAAGTCTTTCATTTTTAATTTTTCAAAAAAATTGAATGTGTCATATGAAGTAATCTACGACAACCCTTTTTTTTCAAGTTATGACGGGTTCGATAACAATAGTATGAACCCTCGAGAAACGAACCTTATGTAGTGGCGGCTGTCCAGAGTCTTTGCTTGCTAGCGTAAAATAATTCTAAAATTTCACAATAAATTCCATGGAATTCCATTGGATTCCAGTGAATACCGTGAGATTACAGTAGGAAATCGTGGAATTTCAGTACGATATTGTGCGATTCCAATAGGATTACGTGGGATTTTATTAAAAGTGGGATTCTGATGTACATATTTTTTTAAAGTGGTTTACCTCTCGCATTTGACATTTCTGGGTATCTCTTCAAGCAGGTGAGATAGGTTTGGGTGCAAAATATAGACAATCACCCGGTTGGTACCTAAAGTGCGAAAAGTGAGTGAACCTTGGTAACGTATGAAGTAGCAGCGGGGAAGACGAAAACCTATACTATACGACGCGACAGGTCCCCGACGTGGTGCATTCAGTGTTGCCAGAGGTGGTACAATTGTACCAAATTTGGTACCATTCGCTTTGAAAAAGTACGCTGCTACGATTTACAATTTTTTTTTTCCAAATTCTCAAAGAGTCTTAGCCTACTGCCTACAGTCTAATGTCGATGTTCTAATTAATTTGTATTTCTGTATCTAAATTCAATATAAAAAAAGCTTTGTTCCAACACACCAAAAAACCGTACAATGTACCGTCAGGATTCTGAGCAAAGCCAAAAATGTGTGCGCAGAACCCGAAATTTGTATAGAGTGGTTTCGAAACGGTTCATGGGACGGTTTTTGACGTATTGGAACAAACCTAATAATTTTTGATTCGTAAATAGATTGCGTCACCTAAGTAATACTCGTTTTATGGTTCTTGGTTGTACGTAGTTTGTGTTTAGTTTAGGATTTCACCATTCATCAAATCAAAACAAAACGTGCTTTTACCTTTTGTTCCGGACTAAAGGATTTCGGCCCTTACCAGTTTAACGGTAGTTTTGTCATCAATTTTTTAAATATTTAAGTGGGTACTACTCACTGGTACTACTTTATCAAATATTTGCCTTGTTTGGTTTTCATCGTAATTTGATAATTTTGCGTTCTAAATGGAATCCTACTTTATCTCACCCATTTGGGGTTTTTGCAAACTTATACTACTTTATTGTTGTCTTTGTTTTAATCACATATAATTAACAATTAAACATTTTTTCATTAAAATTAAACTAAAGACAAGTTTCCAAGACCTTATTTGGGAAATTTATTGTTTTATAATCGTTATTATTTAATTATTCAACAGGTTTTAATTAAGGCTATGGTCCGAATATAACCAAACGTTAACCAAAGTAACCGAATAGGTTGACAGATGGTTACTGAAAATTCTGGTTACTTGGGCAACGCGAATATGAAATAAAAAATAATTGATAGAATTTACACTTATTTTGACATTTGGTTAACCAAATTTCAGGAAACCAAGGTCCAAAAGTAACCACTTTTCCAGGAACCAGAATAGTTTGATTACTTTCGGACCGCGAAACCACAACTCTGGTTATTTTCGGACCACAGCCTTAATTAAACCATTCAAAATGTCATTAATGTCATGCGGCAACGTCGCTGTTGCTTTTAGTCGGCCATTTTGCAGTGACGTGTTTACGTTTTTATCCAGTTTTTCCTTGGATTTTCCATTTTTTCAGGGCGTTTTAAGTCGGAAAACTGGTTTAAAGTACGAGGCTTTGAGTTTTTTTTATTTTGTGCAAAAAATTTTCAGTTTTCCAATAGGGTAAGTGACAAAAACTCAAGTCTCATCAAGTAGGTGTTGGAATGTTCTTTTTAGAGGTTTTTCTTTGGATTTTCCGCTTTTCCAAAGCTTCTTCAATTAGGAAAACCGATTTTAAATATGAGGCTTAAAGTTTCTTCTATTTTGTACCAAAAATTTCCAGTTTTCCAATGGAGTAAGTGACTAAAACTTAAGTTTCATCAAGTAGGCTTTGGAATGTCATTTTCAGAGGTTTTTCCTTGAATTTTCCGCTTTTTTAGGGTTTTTTCGGTCGGGAAAACCGTTTTTAAGGAGGTTTTGAGTTTTCTTCATTTTCAAGCACAAATTTATATTTTTATCCCATTTTGACGTTTAAAAATGACATTATTGAACGCATAACAATAAAGGTAAGTAGACGTTTATCACCTCAGTGATTTAAAAACATTTTAACTCACTCTCGGCATTTTAAGTCACTCTGCCCAACTAAAAATCTGAAACCTCAGTGATTTAAAATATTTTTAACTCACTCCCGGCATTTTTCCTTGTACTTAATTTTTTAAATTTCCACAAAATGGGATAAAATTTTGTATACATCACGTGAGTTAAAATGTTTATTCATTCGAAGAAAATTAACCCACTCGCTAGGGCTCGTGGGTTAAACTTTCTTCTCATGAATAAACATTCATTTAACTCACTTGGTGTATAAATAACTATTAAATGCAATAATTAGAAAAATCCCATTTAAATGCTTTTTCTGGAAGTTTTAATGTGGCAACATCGTTTGTAGCCAACTTCAATCATGTAAAGCTTTTAATAAACGTCATTTGTCAATTTGGAAAGTCGATCATTTTGAGTGTTTTTATCCATGTTTTTCCTCGAAATTACCGCTTTTCCAGGCCATTTTAAAACGGAAAAAATGGTTCAAAGTACGAGGCTTTGAGTTTCCTTCATTTTGTGGCAAAAATTTTCAGTTTTCCAATAGGGTAAGTAACAAAAACTCAAATTTCATCAAGTAGGCTATAGAATGTCCTTTTCAGAGGTATTTCTTTAGATTTTCCGCTTTTCCAGGCCGGGAAAACCGATTTAAAGTACGAGGCTTTGAATTTCCTTCATTTTCAACCAAAAATTTTCAGTTTTAAATTAAAATTAAAAACGCAAAAAAAAATCAGTAAAAAACAACTTTTTAGGAAATTTATAATGTTTTTTTTTCAGGTGACAACACTGCTTTGTAGCCAACTTTATTCGGGTTCCAATCCAGTAGGTCTTGAAATGTTATTTCTAAAGTGACATTTGAGAAAAAGTATGGTCACCCCCACCCTATTATAGGCTGGTACATTTTTATTGAATCTGATACAATTTGTTTTTAATTTTGATACAAAAAATTTTTGCTCTCTGGCAACACTGGGTGCATTGCGAAAATTGCGTTTACCCTGACGCGACGACCCGCGTATATGTATATTTAATCTCGGGCCAATCAGGAGGGGTATGCCCGCATTCCTTCCACGCAGATTCACTCACTTGTCGCACTTTACCTACCTAACCGAATCTAAGTTGACTTGTAGAAGACATTCATAAAGCTGAGATTGATGGTGTCAATTACGCAAAACTGACATTCTATTGGGTACCATTTAAGGACAAAAATGATTTAAAAAGAAAAATTTGTTATCAGGTTGGCGGTAATGAGTATGACAGTAACAACACAATCTAAAAAAGATAATGAAATATGAAATTTCAACAATATAAACACATCTGGTATCTGCTTCTAAACACAAATATTGCACCTGGATTTGTGTTTAGGTGTGAAAGAACAATTTATCAGGCCGAAAGTGACATTTCCAGGCCGAAAGTGACAGAAGAACTCTCACTTTCGGCCTGCTTTAAAGTAAGCAAACGTAAGGTGACATTTTCGAACCTTCAAACCAGTAGGAAATGTGAAAATTACATGTATGGTTCAAAATAATTGCATATTACATACCAAGGTGGGAAGTGTTTCATTCCTGTCTCGAGATTATAGTTAACTTCGACGCTTCGCGTCTCAGTAAACTAACTAATCTCTCGACAGTAATGAAATGGGTACTTCTCACCTCAGTATGTAATATACTATTGTTTAACCAACCACTCAAAAGTTATGCTTTTGTGTTGACCGGTTTATCTCCAATTTTCCAGATTATCAACACACCTAACCTGCTAATTGCACTGAACTAACAAAAAACTTAATGTCAAAATATTTTTTTCTTATTTTGAAGAAACACATAAAAAAATATATCGACGATATTTACATCCAAAAAAGTACAATCAGAAAAATAAACACAGCTTTATTACAATGAAGTGAATTTTGCTTGCTGGACGATCTAATCATTGCAGTCCGTATTAAACAGTCTTCAAAATCACTATAATCGGTTTGTGTTATGGCACAAAAATGATTGTGAACGCAGCTTAGGTCGCAGTGGTCGCGGGGATGTGGTAGCACCTTTACTGCATTCGCTCTATAATACCTTTAAAGTAAAAAAAAAAAAAAAAAAAAACATTAAAAAAATTTGTTACCCAGGTATTTGCTAATCGCACTAATAGGAATACAAAGGGAATACATGAGAATACAAAGGAATACATATGAATCCATAAGAATACATAGGAATACATGAAAATACAAAAAAATACATGAGAATACATAGGAAATACATAGAAAATTAGATGAAAATCGAATAGGATTATTTCATTAACAACTGATTAGGGTTTGAGTTAGAAACGTAATATTAAGTAGGCTACATAATTTAATTGTTTGCTTTCGTCAGCTCAATTAAATTTTTCTAAACTTCACTGGCAACTCATAACATCATGATGTATTCCTATTCATTTTGTTATTTACCTTTGAAATAAACTGGAAACTTCCTGGCCGTCGCTCACAAATTTTCTAGCTAACTGGTTCAAAGTTTCCGGAGTTATTTCGCCGATTCCATAGTAGGCAGTGAAATTGTACTCGACCGTCCATTCAGCTTTTGACTGTAAATTGGCTTTGGTTAGGTCTAGGTAGTATTGGGTGTAATCGATGATCTGTGGAAGAACAATGTAATAAGTTGCAATTTGTGAAACATGAAAACGCAAAACAATTTCTATGGACAACTACTATTAGATGGGTATATTAAAGTCCCATGTGTTCGACTAGCCCTGGATGAACATAAATTATATAACAGTCTATCCAACGTATTAGGCGTACGGGCGACCCCCTCCTGATAGTCATTATCATTAGCGGCGCGTCTTCAATAAATAACCGTCCACGTCATCGCGATATTATGTCCCATTGTGCCGGATGCCTGATTTATTGTCCTGTGGTCGGCATCGGCAGGTGTCCAATCTGTCTAATATACCTTACCTTATAATACAAAATAGTAGTGTTAATTTCTATGGAAAATATAATTCTTGTCTTGCACTTTGGACAATAGTGAAGTATTTGTTTAAAGTAGATAGATATTTGAAATGAAAGCTTCTCAGGCGTTTGTGGGTGATAAAACTGAGTCGTCACGTTCGGATATGTAACGCACATTCGGGCACAGTCGGCTCGAGTCGACGACTTCACCCAAACAAAAGAGAGAAGTAGTCATTATTTATTTTTTCCTTGAGCCTTATTTAATACCGGGTGTCCTTCGATAAACTGACACATTTTTCAGGTGAATATATCTCTAAAACGAGAAAAGATAACGAGATGCGGCTAGTTCTGGGGAGAATAAGGATTTTTTGAAGTTTCTTTTCACAGAATTGCCGAATCCTAAAACTTTATGAAATTTGCTTCTACAGACATACGATTTTTTGAAATAAATACACTAACTTATTTTTAGCGAAACACCCTGTATGTTTTATCATCGTAAGAAAGCATCATTTTTCTACATATTTTACAGAGATTTATATATTTTTTCCATTATCTTTAAATTGCATCGTATAAATTGCACTTTGTTGTCAAGGTTTTAATTATTTAATAAAAGTAAACACAAATTAATAACCTATCGATTTTAGTAGTGCATCTGAGTGAGAAAAAAATTCATAATTCCATTTCTGAGTCTGAGATTTATTTACGGTTTGTTTTGGTTGATAAAAAGACCCTACTCAATAAATCTTGAAAAGTTGGATGAGTCACTTGAGGAAAACCACCTATTTAAAATATTATTTCTCAAAATGTTAACTTTTAAAAAAAACGTTTACTAAATAAAAGTAAATGTTGCAACCATGTATGCGCCCTCAAGTTTAGACTTGAACGAGCGCGCTACAGAAAACGAAGGTACCGAAACCGAAGAGGATACAACAGAATAAGCAATTAGACTACAGAACGAGCTGGACTGGTTCCTTAGAAAACGTGTCGCGTGTCTGCAATTATTCATTATTCAATTTTCATTTTTATTTTGCATTAAAATTGATTGTTCGATCCAATTTGTTATTAGTGTGTGTGTAAGGAGCGTTCGCAGGTTAGTTGATTAATTATTATTTTGTTTGTGAGAGTTCAATTTATACAAATATCATTTTTTCCATTTTTATGTATTTTTTGTTTGTTTATAACATTTTTTTTATAACATGTGCATTGTTCACATGTATTCAACAAAAAACCGATAAAGAAGTAAATTAAAACCTAAGAAATTATGTGCTGTCTTTTTATGCTGAGATTTCGATTTTGTGGATTTATAGCGTGTATTAGGGCCTTGTTGAATTTACTAACATTTTCCTACCCTGAGGAGAGAATATCCTAACAAATTGAAATAATCCATCTAGAGATATTAGTTCAAAAACAACTATAGCTGAGTAGCTTCCCGTATGGGACCTCAGTACCTGCTGGGAAACTGGCTAACTAACAAAAAAACTCTTCCGTATTGAATATAGGTGGTGTTGATTGAATGTCGTGTGTGTTAATAAAATTTTAGCACAAAGACAAAGGATGGTACCTAATTCAACTTTACTGACTTAAATTATTGAATTATTGACTTACAATTATTATGAAAATTACACGGTAGGTTTCGATTTTTGAGGAATGTTAGATCGAGGGTTTCTCTGCCGTGCTCTTTTCCCTCGTTAGTTCCAGGATGAGAACGGTACGATTTATTTTAATAATAAAGTAGACGTTTCACAATTTTTTTGTTTATTTTACATATCACAACTTCCCTTAAATTTCCCAAATATTTGCTACGTCGGGCGCATGTCCAGTAAGTAAAATTGAATAAGTTTCCACAACGTAGGTCCTATTTGTTTTTCATTTAATTTTTCAGAAGATTTGTTGTTTAAAAGGTAATAAAAATTCACACCGTTCAATCTTACTGAACGAGCCCGGGTATGTTATATTACATTACGATGTGATTTCAAGATAATTAAAAAAATATACTCCTGGACAAAATTATCGCACCACTGCACATAAGCACCACCATAAGCAGTGGTGCAATAATTTTGACCAGGAGTATATACATTTTTCTAAAGTAGGAAAATCAGGCTTTCTGACGATGACAAAATATACAGGGTGTTTCATTGAAAATGAGGCAGTAATTTTGTTTCAAAAAATCGCATGTCTTTAAAACCAAATTTCACCAAATTTTAGGATTTGGCAATGCTGTGAAAAAAAGCTTTGGAAAATCCTTATTCTTCCAGAACAAACGTTATCTTTTTCCATTTTCGAGATATTCACCTGCAAAATGTGTCAGTTTATCTAAGGACACCCTGTATAAAAAAGCGGATTATGCGGGAATTTGGAACAAATTCGAAATGCGGAGAAAAAATTAGGACAATATGAATTGGTAATAAACTTTCAAGAATTGAATTTGCATAAATTATATTTGAAATAGTCATCAATGGACAATCCTACTTATGACATTTTCCGTCTGATTCCAAATATCCTACATATATAGGGTTGTCCAAAAAATACCGAATTTGGTTTTCGTATACAATAACTTTTTTATTTATGTGCCGGTTTTACTGATTTTAGTCTCAATTGGGAGGGAATTGATCAAGACAGATCGTTCACCTTATATTTTTGATAATTTTTGAAAAAAACAAAATGGCGGACATAGTTAGATTTGGTCAAACTTTGAAATCTGCTGGAACTTTTTTGAGTCTCACTATATATCTTAAATATTCTGAAAGTTTGAACATTTCTCCAAAGAATGAGAGGTCGGTGATGCAAATCCGTCAAAAAATACATCTCGATTTCCATTTTCTTTCCTTATTCTCCAAAATGACGTTTTATCCCAGGGTAATTGAACTTCCTCTGCGAAATGAGGCCGAACAAGCTGAATTTTTGCAAAGACCTTCGTTTTGATGCACAAAAAATCGAATATGCCTACCCTTGTGCGTCTTGAGATATCGAAGGTCAAAGGTCACGAAAATCGTTTTTTTGCGAAAATCTCGCTTCCATCGCATCTGACATCGAAGAACCCGAAACAAAACTTACGTAAAATGATATTTTCTACAAAATTGTTCATAAACATTTTTTTGTACGACCAACCGTTTTCGAAATATAGCGTGATAAAGCGAGAGCGCGCATTCAAAATAGGTGATACTATTATACAGGGTGTCCCCGTTCAACTGGTCAAAAATGCTAGGGTATATAGAGGAACCATAGAGAAGTAATTTGAGATAGGACACCGATAGTCAGAAGTGCGTCGTTTCCAAAATACAGGGTGTTCAAATTTAAACAGCCCCCTTTCATATCATCTGGAGGGCTAATGCTAGGCTGTTCAAATTTTCAGGGATGATTGTTGTAGGAATGATATTTAAAAATTCATATAATGCATCCCCATTTTCTACCTGGAGACACCCAAAAAAAAAAAAAAAAAAAATTGAAACAAATTGCACAAATTTTATTTTTTATTTTTATTTTTTGGGATGGTTCTAGGTAGAAAATGGGGTGCATTATACGAATTTTCAAATATTATTCTTACTTCAATAATCCCTGGAAGTTTGAACAGCCTAGCATTAGCCCTTCAGATGATATGAAAGGGGGTTGTTTAAATTTCGTCCAAGCGTGAAACTGGGAAACTTGGCTATAATGCCGATATCATCATATCACAGCTGAATTTTGCTTGCCCATAAATTAGTGGAAGCACTTAAATTGGTTTTAAAGATATTCAAGCGGTGCGATACCTTTCACTGGAAATGCGGTGTTGGCATATTTCAGCAACTAGTGGAAATAGAATTCTGAAAATTTTAAATCCTATTAAATTTGGCACGTCCAATTTATTTCAATAAAAATAAATGGCAATCTATTCAGGATAACAAAATGACTACGTTTAGCGCAAAACTAGGAAGTCTGGCAACAATGTCGATATCACGGTTGAATTACGCTTGCCCAAAATCCCCCAGATACCAAATTTTGTGAACTTGCTTAAGCGGCGTTTGAAGATATTCAAGCGTTGCTATACTTTTCACCGAAAATACGATGTTGTCATATTTTAGCAACTAGTAGCGATATAATTCTGAAAGTTTGGATTCTTATCAAATTTGGCCCGCCCAATTTATTGCAATAAAAATAAATAGGCCATTTTATTTAAGATAATAAAAAAACTATGTGTAGCGCAAAACTGGGAAATTAGGCAACATTGCCAATAGCATTGTTGAATTTTGCATGTCCAAAAACTGTCAGATTCCGAATTGTGTGAACGCGGCTTAAGCAGTTTTGAAAATATTTAAGTGTTTCAGTACTTTTACTTACCCTGTATATTATTTGGAATCAGGAAGAAAATATATTTCATTTTATCGTATAATATACAGGGTGCTGCATTAAAAAAAATCGAAGTTGTCTTCGTTTTCCCATTTTTCGATGCGACTTTGTTTTTTTCTGATAACGTTGAAAAAAAATATATATAGAAAAAACCTGTTGATAGTGGTCGGTGATAGTCGTTAGTCTGTAAGCTTAATCCCGAAATATGTTTTCAATCCAATGTGCAAATACTCATTTTAGTCATTTTCCATTTTGAACTGTAGACCAACATATTTTTGGGTTTTTGTAGGATTGTGGATTTTGATCTCGGCATTGATCACTCACTGATTAGGTGAGTTCTTATATTGAAAATGTTGCTGAGCTC